TTCATGAAAATAATACTTGCGTTCCTTGCTACAGGAGCCAAGCATAGCATGGTCCACGATTGTTTGCAGCCACAACCAAGCTTCCATCCCACATTACTGTCAAAGACTTTGCAGTTGTATCGACCTTCGGTACTTGTGTTTACACCATAGGTCATAAAAAGATTTTGATACATACCTACCTCTTTAAGAAAGAGAGAGCACCAGAAGGCAAACATCCACATACCCACCAAATAAAATATAAAAAAAAAACCATAGATTTTCATCAAGACAATGAAACAAAGTTTTGGGCACATCAAAACGCATAAGTTTTCTTATCAAAATATAGAGCAAAAAAACATAGAAAAGCAAAAAACCATCATCAACTTTTGATTGTGACTCTGGTCTAAAGCAGGAGAAGCAATATGTAGTGAAGGTACAGAACATCAGCGCATATCAACTCACAACTGCATGAATTTGCCATCAAGTCCCATACTTGAATATTGCCATTTTGGTCCCCAGATATCAATTTAGTCTGCAATGGCTCAAAACTACTGTTAGATAAGAATATTAGATTAATGACCTCAAGCAACATGGTATGTTACTTAAATGCGTAGAGAAGTACCAAAAACAGTAATAAAGTATTTTAAAGTCCAATTAGAAACAAGTAGGAAAAGGACAAAAAGTTATTAGTTCCTATTGCTTCAAGCTCTAATAACAATGTACACAGATAGACTAAACACATGGGAAGAAAGCAGAATAACATGGAGCCATAGCTGTTTTAAACATTCTACTCATCCAGTTTAAATTGCATGCTTGGTCATTTTGACATCTTTAATCAAAGACAAAAAACGTTCACACCCAAGTCAACTTTATTCTGAGCTCGTGAAGTCAAACTCCTGATAGAAAATTAGGGACAATTTGCCTATGCAAGGCAGTTTGATGAACAGAATAAGTGCAACTAAAGTACATAACAACTTAAAAATTGTATCAAGTGATTATACAATTCAAGGAAGTTTGTGAACCAAAATCTTTTTTCATGTTTAGTTAAGAGGATTCTACAAATACAACCAGCAATTGTCATAATGTGAGTTAGTGTATACCTTAGCAGAACATGCAAATAAAATTTCCAACAATTTGTACTCGTAAACAACAATACAATAAGACCACATTTGATTTTAAAAAGTTCCCAGGAAAAAGACTTGAAAAAGACAAAAATCTCTCGTTTCAATTCTTCATTGGCAATATTGACCAATTTATAGGAACAATATTGAGCTAATAAACCATTGTCTTCGATACCCTAAAAATCTCCAAGAACCCTCAATTTGAATTAAAGGAACACTTGAAAAAGAGAGAAAAATATTCCCTCGTTTCAAGTCTTCACTGGCAATATTAACCAATTTACATGAACAACATTGAAGCCCTCTGGCTGTAAAATATGTGAGCTAATAATAAGCAGTTGATCTTTAAGCAAACGAAAGTGTGTGAGTGATTTCTTCTTCTTCTTTTTCTCCCGGTGAAAGTGTTTGTGTGTGATTTCTTCTACTAAGCCTTTTTGGTTTCCCTTTTAGGCCTTTGTGATGTGTTGTGTAAAGAGATAGGGAGAAAGAGATGAAGATAGAGAAAGGGGGCAAAGACGAAGATGGGGAATACCTAGATCTGGGCGATTCTTTAATGGTGGTTATGGGTCACTTCCTGGTGACTGCAGACACCATGATTGGAGAGAGAGAGAGAGAGAGAGATGGATACCTGGTTGTGGTAGTGCCGTTGGCGGTGGTGGCGTTGGAGGTGGTGTAACACAGAGTGTTTTGTGTTGAGAGAGAGAGAAAGAGGGAAAGGGAGGGCGTGAAGGGAAGGCAGAGGAAGAGAAGAAAAAATATGGTGAGAGACTGACAGGCGTGGTGCCCTGTGGCAGCTGTGTCTAAGAGAGGGGCAGTGTAACGTTAAGAGGGAGATGATAGGTGTGATAAGATGGTTTTGAGGGGAGGAAAAATATGTGTAGGATAAAATTCAAACACACTTCTGTTTTATTATATAAATAGATCTAGGACTTAGAGATATAGAGAGAGATCGATGAAGATGGAGTAAAATCTGACTTTGGAGATGGAGTGCTAGCTTATGGATTCGAGAGCTCTTTTGCAGCGTTTAGCAATGGCATTTTATGCCTGCGTTTGTTGTTGGTGTTGAGAGAGAGAGAGAGGCAAAAAATGGGGTAAACAAGTTTTTATAGTTGGAACAAAATCCTCCTTTTTTGTTGTTAATGGGATTCGAAGGGCAAACCCTCATTAATTGAATTGAAGGGCGCTCGTGTTTCGTTTTTAGCCTGTTTTTAAAACACCAAAATCCTTGTTTCCAAAATTTAGTGTTGTTTACAAAATAGATTGACCACAAAAAAAATGGAAACACACTCTAAACGTGTTTTTATTTTTGGAAAAAATTGAACACAAAAATAGAAAAAAATGCAAATACTATGTAATCAAATGACACCTTAGAGAACAAGTTGGGGTTATTTTGTGTGTTTTTAAAAACTATATTTCTAGAATTTAGACAACTCTACCACCACACTTCCACCAACAGCAACACATCCACCAGCACCAGCACCAGCACCAGCACCAACACCACCTCCACACTTTTATAAGCACCACATTTATGTTTTTATTATTTTTTAAGTTAGTATTCAAACAAATTTTACTGTTTTCAATTTCGTAGAATTATTTTTGAAATAATATAACCAAACAAGTTTTACGACAACAAAAAAAGTCAAAACACACTTTTTAAAATTTTTTTCTAAAAATAATTTTCCAATACTATTTTTTGAGATTAAGTCAAACATATTAGTTTAGCAGATTAGGTTGTTTTGATCTACTCGCTTATGAGATTTGCTTTGCATAGCCTTCACTTGATTTTTTGGAGTATATATTGAACTTACTATATACTATTCATGTTCTTAATCAATGAAACCACTTTTTCATCGGCAAAAAAAAAAAATTTGTGTCCTAAGAACACAATTAAAGTGGCGAGCGACATCATTAATATTTTCAATTAACTTAGTAATGTGAATGAGTTGGAAACGTAGGATCAAAATTTAATGTCTGAAATGTTTCCGTTTTTAAGGAGACCGAAACGAATCAAAATTCTAATATTTGAGATATTCCATAATGTTTCGATATGTTTTATAATATTTAATGCATTCACAATTGTTTCAGAATGTTTTAAGAAATTTTAAAATATTTTAACATGTTTTGAAAAAATAATTTTTAAATTTTTTATTTTTTTCATTTCTATTTCCGAAACATGTCAAAACGTTTTCGAAACACATTGAAAAATTTTTATTTCCTAGATGACTAAAACAATAGACCGAAGTAAAATTTTGAACCTTATTAGAAACAAAGTCAGACCAAATAATCTTGTGGAGTACTTGGATTGTTTCGAAATTGGACAATCCCACAGAGGTCAACCGAACCGAACCGATCCCAACACGGCTCAGTGAGCCGTGTTCATCAAGTATGTCAGCTGTTGAAAGTCTTATCAATATTGCAACTTGCAACTGCTAATTTGCTGCAAAACCTAACTGCATGAGTTTGACATTCAACGGTGGACATGTATCCTCTTCCATTATGGATGCTTCCGTAGCATAGAGTACCTCAGAAAAAGTATCTGCTTTTGTGCTAAAACTGTTCATTTCTCAGCAAGTCCAACCTTTGTTATTTCTGCCGAGTTATTACTACTCTGATTTACGCTTTCAGTAACTACTAAAATTTTTAAACAACATGATAATTTAATATGATATTAAAGTAGGGAGGTCATGTGTTTTAATCTCACTGTCGCCCGAATAATTATAAAAGATACCTACGGACCAAGCCTAAAATCTAAACTATACATGAGAAGGACATGCTAAAGTATAAATATTTAAATTATACTTTCTCTAACGGACTCAAATCCTTAAACTATCAATCATTAGAGTCAACACGAGGATAGTTGAATGCAACCCAACGTGAACACAAATGCACAGATATATTCAAAAACTAGTAATAATCAATTTGGTTTGGTTAGACATTGGGCTTTGAAACTGGTGGGTTTTGTTTCCAACGAATCTATGTTCCGTCATAAGATCTATTGACGGTCTTTTTAGTAAGCTCTAAGGCCCATTGATTTATTTTCATGATCTGGGAATGAATTAGTCTTATCACACTTTGTGTATGGCCATTTTATGGATCCGCACTTATGCCATCTTTCTTTCTGTCTCTGTCTCTCTCTTTTGGACTCTTTCTATTGGTTGGTTGGGCTCTTTTCTTGACTTTTTAAGAAATGGCCCATTGATTGGCGCTGATCTATTGGCCCAACATGATAACTAGGCCCAATAAGATTGGAGCAATCTACGCATCAATCAGGACAGGATTTAATGGATTTTGGAATTCCATGCCTATAACAATTAGTAATATCAAATTTGGTAATTAAATTTGTCGACCACATCTATTATTAATGCACTTTATCTAACATTAATATTCACTATTAATCCCACAATAATAATGAGGCGACATGTAAATTTGGCCAAGAAATTTAATTCAAGAAACATTACATTACTAAACAGGACTTAATATAGAAGTTCCTAAATTGTAGATAAGCTTAGGAAAAATAATCACAAATATGAGTAAATTGTGGTATGTATGTAATAATAAAACACACACGTAAAAAAATAATAATAATAATACAGTTATGGAATTACAACAAAATTTTGGAAAACAGATTATGGTAAGGTGACTGTTTGTAGTTGGGTTTTACAAAATTTACTCGATTCCTAGATTGTGCACCAAACACAACTGAGACCGGGCAAATCCATTGCCAAACACCCCCCGGCATTACTTAACACGCCAGACAGAGTCATCTCCTCCGACACATCTCATCTCTCTCTCTCTCTCTGAAACTCCTAACCCTATTTTCGCACTAACTTGGGAAGGAACCCTATTTTTCACTTCGAATTTTGATCAAGAAGCTTACAGAGGAAGAGATAGGAAGACACGAAAATGGTGAAGGTTCGAATGAACACGGCCGATGTGGCCGCCCAAGTCAAGTGCTTACGCCGTTTAATTGGAATGCGTTGTTCAAACGTCTACGATCTCTCTCCAAAGGTAACTATCGATATAATAATGGTTTTTGTGTTGCATGAAATGTTTGTTTGAGTATAAGATGTTTGCTGAATTATGAAAATCATCAGTTTATTTGGAGGTGGATTTAGGGGACTTTGGTTTGTAATTTGGGTTTTTTGTTTGTTTTTTTGCAGACGTATGTGTTTAAGCTGATGAATAGTAGTGGAATGACGGAATCAGGGGAGAGTGAGAAGGTTTTATTGTTGATGGAAAGTGGTGTTAGATTGCATACTACTGCTTATGTTCGGTAAGTTTGCCACTCTCATTCCAAAAGCTTCAAGAGTGCCGTTTGGTAGCTAAGAATATACTATAGAAGGAAAAATTTTCAATAGAGAATTCTAAATTTTGTAGATAATTTGTCCTTGAGTGATCGCAAAAACTTCTAATCACTCAGTCCTAATACAACTACATGGCGTTCATATCTCACTCTACATTATCATCGATTGGAATGTGAAGCAACACAAATATGTGTGGAAAATAATATTTTCTTGTGATTTATAAGGGGCTGAAGAAGAACAAAAGTAAAAATCTGTTGGAATTTGGGGACAGAAATTTATTACTTTTGACAGTTAACTTTTGATTTTCTGCTTTTTTAAAGGGACAAAAGCAATACACCATCCGGGTTTACTCTCAAATTAAGGAAGCACATAAGAACAAGAAGGCTTGAGGATGTGAGACAGCTTGGGTATGATAGGGTATGACGTTTGGTTTACTCACATATTAGCTCATAATATAGTTTGGCGCCTTTACCGTTCTTGTATTTCCGGTTTATTTAATGATTATGTAACTTCTCTATTTACATTGTGTTTAGATAATTCTCTTTCAATTTGGACTGGGTGCTAATGCACACTATATTATATTGGAGTTGTATGCCCAAGGAAATATTCTCCTCACAGATTCTGAATTCATGGTCTTGACTCTTCTCCGGTCACACAGGTTGGTGGTTCATGAACTATGTTCTTCTGGTGTTTTGCAGGAATATACATGATGTTGCATTGCAGCATGTGTATGTCTTTGTATATTTATAGGTATTCCTCGACGTGCTTTTATGTGTTCGTTTATGGGTTTGATGTATATTTTCTTTCCTCTGCTAAAAATGTCCTTAGTAGAATAATTTTGTTGCCATTCTGTGCTAGAATACATATCTTCTTGCAAAGAAATTATCAATGGCATAGTTATCATTTCCTATTGGCTTAACCTACTAGGCATTAAGTACTATGAAATTGTGGTAGTTGAGTTGTCAAATCGTGATTCGTATCATGAATCAGAATCCGAACGATTCCACCTATGAACTTGGATGATCTTTTATTCCAATTAAGTATAACAACTAGTGGTGGTGAAAGTCAGTTCTTTCACAAAGTCAACACTGTGACACCCCATAATCCGAGTGTCTGTAATTATCCGATTGATTATTCATCGATCCGTAAAATATTGGTGGATATCGTGTAATTTGATACCACACCGTTATACCCCATTTCTCGGGATCCATAATTTAACAAAATTTGGGCAGAGTCTCTTTTGTACGAGGAGATCTACTCAAAACGCAACCTGTACAATATTGACCACACCGGATTTATCTATCCATTCACAATTGTATAGTCTCAAATACTACCATAATCATTATCAGTACATACATTTATTCGTAAAAGAATAAATGTCCCAAAAGAGTCTCATATACATGCCTTTGTAAATATAAACAAATGTTTGTTACAAAAATTATACAAGGCCAAAAGTAAGTATAAACAAGGGACTACAATGTCAAAATAAAAGCCACAGACCAGCTCTGTCGTCAAAGCAGGTCCATGGCCTCACCTTCGGTGGACACCTGTGCGATACCTGAAAAATGTTCCCATAAAGGGTGAGCCAACGCTCAATAGGGTAACTCCTATAGAGAATATCTCTCAACCTAAATGCATATGGAATGTCACATGCAACAATCATTTGATACATTCATTCAAATATGTCTATTATGATTGAATGTCATAAATCATGTCATGTCATGAAATGAGACTCACGCAAGCAATACCAATCCCGAGCCCCATCATGAACTCTCATAACACATGCAATGTCATGCGTATGTATCCGGGCATTCCAAGCCCCCATCATTAGTGTTATGTACACTCAATGACTAATTAATTCATTTTCTTGTGTTTTTGTGGGGAGGTGATTTATGATATTACACTAATGGGACACCAACCATCAACGGATCTTCAGAACATCCCACCTGCGGCTCCGTTTTTGCCATTACACTTTTCTGGAATTTCACTGCCAAAAAGTGTATAAACCAAGTAAGCGGGTCTTGCACCCGAGGGAGAATTTAGCCTTTCTTGCTGTCCCCAACACATTTATCCCTTTAATTTTTCGTGCGACTCAACCGAACCTTGGTGCGACTTTTCCGAGTCCACGTTCAACCACCTACGTGGTGATTAATTTCATACCATGCATACACTCCCACCCATGTTAATGCCCATGAATGTAGTGCAACTCATGCATAATGAAATACAATGTCTATTACATAATGAATACAATATAATAACATTTTAACACGATCTCAAGCATGTTATGAAAGATAATCAATTCAACTAACATACTTGTATTCACCTAGGCATTTAATCAAACACCTAAAGAGTACATCAATTTACACAACTAGCATGCTATGACTTGCAACATGACAACATGTTTATTAATTATATAAACATAAGCACAAGTTCACCAAAATAATCATATGTTAAATAATAATTTAACATATATAAATTATTTCACAATCACATAACAAGTTAATAATTTTATTAAACGTGATCTGTCATTAAAATATAAAGTAATGCTGACATACAATTAACATGTTTTAAACCACTAACATTAACTTACATCAAATTAATCACAATAGAATTTTATTAATCACAAGATTAATTATAAATTCTATATTTGACCCACTAGTTAAGATTTAACATGTGATATACACTCATAATCTACTCATTTCATATGTCATATTTTAAGTTGAAATTAAATCTAAATAGGGGAAACCCTACCTCTCGTAGCGTGAGACCACTTACTAGAACGCCAAGGAAGCCCAAATTTAATTTCCTAAGTTTTAGGCCTAGATTATCGATTTTGATATTTCTTTGGAGAAAAATACGATATTTGGTGTGGTTGCGTAGCTCTCGCTGAGTAGAACAACTTTAGTTCTTGGCCCAAAGCGATTAAACGATTAAATTTTCATTGATCTGAGAAGAAAGAAAAGAGAAATAAATAAAAAACTCATTTTTTTTTTCTCTCACTCTCCCTGTCTCGCCGACTGGAGAAGAAATAAAAAGTGGAAGACTTTGTCTTCCACTTATATATATATATAGTATAAATTTATTATTATTATTTTTTTTAAATTTACGTTTTTGACCCATAATTTAATAATTAATTATTATTTTACCCTTTTTATTAAGATTTTTAATAATAATAATAATAATATTTTTTTTCGGGTTTTACAAACACACTAATTTATGGTTAATACACACATAAGCAGATGCACACCCGTATAGCAGGAACCGTAAGACAAGGGCTAGAGCAAAGACAGAGAGCGGAATGGAGGAAGTGACAGGAGAGGTGAATCGCATAGCACTAGCTAAGTTCAAAGAGGGCATTCCACCTGAACAGATCAATCAAATCAACTCATCAAGAGCTTTGCCAACCTTGTCAATCTTATTGAACCCATGAAGGCTTTCCGCTGGTACCACCCCCTTCTCTGTGTGTGTTTGGGGGGGGGGGGTGTTTGTGCACACATGCACTCACTGTTATTGTTTTTCTTAATTCACTGTACATATAGCGTCACCTTACTACTATGACCATGTAAGAGCAATCAATTAAATTGTTTTACTTGGTGCAATAAGTCACTTTATCAATTGTAAGGCTTGTGAATCAGTTTTATTGACCCAGGATATTGAATTGCTCATAATGAAATTTAACAAAAAACCAACCACTGGATAGCCCAGATCAAGCATCAATGGCTCAAACTGTACATGTAATCCCTCTAATGGAGGCTTTAAGTAGATTTTGTGGTGATGTCAGTTTGTTTCTCGTGCATCCTACTACTTCTGAAGCCATTGCATCCTACTACTTCTGAAGCCATTGTTCTGCATTAGAGCATGGAGGTACTTTTTATCAGCATTTGTCATTATCACAATTACAAGCAATATAATGATGTTGGTCATACTCACTTTATTGCTGGGACACAGGAGCCTGGAGAACATGCACCAAGGTTTCACACGTCTTTGAATCAACATTTTTGAACACACAAGGTCTTGCAGAGTATATGACTCATCCAGCACATGGTGAATTGGCAAATTTGTTCGTTGCTCAAGTTGAGAAATTCGTCATTATTAATATTGCCCTACAAACCCATACGAGCCCGTCTTTGACTCTAAAGGGGGTGATGCCATTTTTCTATGGTCTTTCACTGTTTTGTTCTTAATGTAAGTTTTGTTTTATATTTGTGTATCGAATAAGAGGATGGGCTTCATCCACCGTTACATTTTCTCGTAATTTCATTTAATGTTAGATCATCTGGATCCTTCACGGCAAGTCCAGTACAATCTCTTTGTATACGGAGCAAGACTTCATATATTCTTTGCTCAAAATTCGTTCAGTTATTCATGTCATGAGTGTTTCATATACAGTATTTTTCCCCCCCTTCTA